TCGAAACGACATTGCATCGATACAAACTGTCTCCTGCTCTGTTGACGGTCATTTTCAAGTTAACAGTGGTTAAAACACACCCTTTGCTGGTTATGAAGTTTGCCCAAAATTGCTCTATTTGAAGAGCTGCTTGGAATAGAGCCACAAGTGACCTACATGTACTCGTGAATCAAGGAAGGAAAAAAATAAGTGTTATTGGATTAGGGGTGGCTTAGGGGTTTATTACATGCATCTCTTCTTTTATATTTTTCTTTAAGAGTGCTACTGCAATGTGGAAGCTTACTAGGGCATCTACTGAATTTTTGCTGCCAAAAGTTTCACTCTTACATTGCTATCCCTGCAGAGTGCTGTTTCTCAAATATAAACCTAACTAATTCAGTTAAGCTCCCATGACTCCCTTTAGGGTTGTCGATGGGGAATTAGAAGTAGAAATCAATTGCTTTAGTATGGTCTCGACTGCCGTTTGGAAAATTCAGAAGTTATTTCCAAGTTCTCTTAAACTGCAATCATTATTGTATATTTCTTTCGGGGTGATTTAACCAAAGTGTAGGCAGTACCTCTCCACTGTAAGTGGCGTTTTATATCTCTTTCTCCAGGAAGTACTGAAATGGTGTCAGCAATGTTAGAAGCTGGATGTGACACATCTGTTAAAACGGGAATCCCTGCCACTGTAACACCAGTGAGCCTTGCTAGAGACTTAGCGCTGGAAGATATCATTGAGTTGTTATCTGAAGCTAGTATCTCTTGGCAATTTTGTCGATTTTTCCTGTCATCTCTTTAAAAATATCATCTACTGTTAATATGGTCAGTTATCTCTCATAACATGTGTACAGTCACCTATCCCCAGCAGCAAAAAACTAGCAGAAAGAGCTCCTTTCCATGGGGGGTGAGGCTCCAGTGGAGGTGGTGGTGGGGATGGAGGGGGGAGCTAGAATGGCACTGCAAGTGCCCCCTCATGCACTACTCTTTGGGTAGAGGTGCACTTTGGAGGCCTTCAAACTCTGACCCTGTTTACAGTAAGACAAAAACCCATACTTAAGAATAGAGATCCTTTTTTCATTAACCTGATTCACTTCATTCCACATCAAGAGTAAAGTATTTTTTCACATTAAATAAAAAAATGGTGATTATGTATGTAGACTGTACACCACTCAACATTCACACCCTGATCAAGGCTTCGAGTCAAGAAAAACACACTGTTCAAGACACTTAATGCAGTCAAAGCTCTCCTTGTAACAATTCCTGTTAGAAAACAGCTCTAGTTGTGACCAGTGGCGTGAAATCCCGTTTGAACTGTGACTTAAGCTCTGTGATGAAAAGCTCTCTTATGCGAAAACTCCTGTAAGCTACCTTGACCTTTTTTATGACCAACCAGCTGGTCGTTTCCTTTGTTCTTACGTTCTCAGTCAACTTTTGAATAAAAGAACTTACTCCTTGAACAAATGTAGGGTTTTCATGAAATAAGCATTCACGGTTTGTTAACATTGAGTCAGTGTACAAAGTAACTGAAAAAAGGCCCTAATTAAAATTATTTCACCTGAACGTACTGGTAATTACTGAAAAGATATGCCAAGCCTTCTGCTACAAGCTCTCCTCAACAACTGCTCCGAAAAAATTTTTCTCATGATCGCTTACAACATACAGTTAAACCTCTCCAAATCGGCCACCTTGGGGATAGAAATAAGAAGCCATTATGGGGAGGTAGGGTAGGGGTGGAAGGTGACTTTCTCGCGCGTTCATAGTATGTTCTAAAAAAAAGGTTCTGTTAAAAAAAGTTCTGTATTTAAACTTAATCTTAAAAGATTTGAAAAAAAACCGCGATTAATCATCAACTTGCCACAGGGATCAAATCTCGTGACTATTCTTGACTTTCTCATCAGTCGCTGAAAAAACTGGCCATTGTTGAGAGGTTATTTTGTTGTTGTAGGGAGGTGGCCGTTTTAGAGAATTTTAAAAAAGGGCAATGTGTGGACTGTCCGCGGAGACAAAAAAGGTAGCCGTTAGTGGAGTTTCGACTGTAGTTGCTCACTTACAAGAACTTCAACTATGTCCTGTTCAAGACTCAAGCCCCCAAAACCATTGGGGCCACCCAACGACAGTTTCCTCCTAAATACATTGAAAACACTTTTTAGGCTATCTAGAGTACGTCTGGGCCTTAAGAAATGCATTCTAAGCAGCACTTTAAAATTTGTATCTGTTCGGTCATCCAAGGGGAACTTGAGTTCTTTTGAAATTACAAGGGCTTCAGTATTATTTTCCTGACATTTTTTGATGCAAATTACCAAATTACGAAAGTGAGACTTTTTCTGATTCCCCTCTCAATCACATTTTTGAATCCAAAAATTTTAGGTTTCCTTTTTCTACGAAAAATAGCCTAACTGTATGGGGAGTGAAATGTGAAAAATGAAATTTTAGAAAATCGTAGGGAATTCATTAGATAAGCTTCAAAAATTGTATGTGAATGCAATGGTCATCTAAAAATTTTTAGCTGTTCTCAAGTAATAGAAAATTCTAGGCAATATTTGCTTCTCCGAAACAGATATTTTATAGAAAACAGCCGTTCGGTGCCCCTGAACCATACCCAATTTGGCAGCGCATGCATGTTTTGGCCGAGTCGGGTAGTGTCCTTCGAGTTTGCGAAAGGGTGGGAGGGGAGGGGGAGGTTGTTGATTCACATTCTGATTAGTGTCGGTAAGTTTCAGTGATGTGTTGTTCCAGAAAGAAACCGTAAGTTTTAACCCAACTTCTCAAGAAATTCCCCCTTTCTTCTTTACGTCTCACCGACAAAAAGAAAGCATAATGGTCTTTCAATATTCCCATCTTTAGATCTTTACGGTAACTTTCCGCAAGTAGATAATGTGGAAATAAGATAAGATAAGCGACTTTATTTAACAAGGGTTACACGTGACAGTAATTAAAATTACTGATAAACTTGTGGCCGCCTAAAAATAAATTTAAAAATATAATGAAATGAAGTAAAAACTAGAGATAGGTTATTACATTTACAATAAAAGTTGTAGCAGTATTCTTCTAATGGGAAAAATAGTTAAAAATTATGGACAGTGAGGATTAATACTCATGAGAACGAAGTGATGTCATTAATTCATATCAAAAGATCCCTTAAGCTTTTGGGAATTTAACGGTACTTTCCATAGTTCTGACTTGAAGGATGTCAAAGTCTTCTTAGTTCTCAGGGTTCGGGGTAAGTTATTCCAGTCCTTAACAGTTCTCACTGCAAAGGTGCGTCCCCCTTCTGAGCTCTTTTAGTGGAGGGGTGGGGTGGGGACAGTAGATTTAAATTGCAATTTCTTGTGATTCTTGTGTGGTTATCTGAGATTTTTCTTAAGGATGTGTTTAAATAGTGAGGCAGACGGTTCCATCTATCCTTTTGAAAGCAAGTGCACAGCGATTGATATATGCCTCATTATAAAAAGGAAGGCAGCTTAAATTGTTAAACAATGTCACTGTTTGACTAATGCGAGAGGCACTCAGAATAATGTGTGCCCTCCCGTTTTTACATTCGCAGAACTCTCTCAATTAGCATTTTATTGCACGATGTCCATACTGAGCTTGCATACATCGTGAGTGGTTTTATGACTGTGTTAAGGTAAATGATTTTCTGATTTTTCTTCAAGTATGGGCTGATATGGCGTAAAAGAAGGCCGAGACGCTCGGGGAACTTGTTGCAGAGTTCATGGAAATTTATTTCGTAAGTTAGGTTTTTGTCGATGATCAAGCCAAAAAGTTTATGACTTGCAACTTGCTCAATTTCAGCGATATCCGTTACAACTTCCAGCTTTCCGGGATCTTGGTCCATACGCCTGCGTAGACGCTTTCCCGTGACCAACAAAGCTTTCGTTTTTTTTGCGTATTTATGTATACATTTTGTTACCTCTAGCCCATCTCTCTATCTCTGCCAGGTCATCAGATAATGTTTGGTTTAGTGATGAAATGGTTTTCCAATTTGAACTTTAAGACAAGGTGAAATCATCTGCATAAATGTCCATAGTTGATTTGTGAACATGAAGAGGCATATCGTTGACGAACAAAAGGAAAAGCACCGCCTAAAATTGACCCTTGGGGCACACCTTGCTTTACGGTCAGCTGTTCAGATTTAACTTTCCCTAAATTAAAAAAATGCTTTCTCTCAGACAGGTACGATTTAAACCTAGCGATGGAAGAGGGAAAAACCCCTTAGATAGACAACTTAAAAGAAGTTCAAGATCAAATACATCAAAAGCTTTGCGAAAATCTGTAAACACCAAACCGGTCAACTCGTCATTGTCCATGTTTGTTATTATCTGATCTGTAAGTCTGATCAGGGCCGTTTCTGTAAATGTTCCTACCTATATTAAAAGCTGATTGGAGCTAGTATAACAAGTTGTTATCTTCCAAATCTCCCAACGGTATCATGTAAGCGCGAAACGACCACGCGTTTCGGGTAGCGCATGCATAACGTTTGCGATTTTGAATCACACGTGAATTTTATCAACATGAAGTGTACCTACAAATGACCCAGTCATCATGTAAACGCTATACGAAATGAAAAAGTCTTCCCTGTATGAAACTCGCGCCGGTGCGAGTTTTCTCATGTAAACACCCCCTTACTTGAGTGGAAGGTGTCGAACTGGAACATAATTAAGCATTGTTTCTATTGAACTCAGAACACCGTTTATATCATCGAACACAAACGCTGCGTCCTATGGGGAAATTTCTTTGAGCCCAAAATAAAGAGTATTTCCTCCCACAATTTACTACATTGCGTGAACTAATTTGTAACAACTCTTTGGAAATGAAACAATTATCGCCTCCTTTATCCTCTTCTGATATCGTATTATAGTCAGTTACTGAATACACTATTATATGAAGTCCTTTAAACACAGAAATATACCTGGATGGCGATTTACTTGGAAGCGAAAGCTACGTACGCTATTACTGTAAAATAAGACAATTTAAAGGATCAAACAATATGCTTTCGCGTGCCGTGCTCCACTGCTTCCAAGGTGTTTGTTTACTAATGCCAACTGACTACGAACTGTTTCTACATACACATGATCTTCACCAAATATTTGTTTTCTAATTATCAGTGCTTTTTCGTAAAGTTCTTTGGCTTGACTGAATTCTCCCAGGCGTTTGTACATCAAAGCCAAGTTGCTATAACTTGTTGCTACGTTGGCATGATCTTCACCAAATATCTTTTTGTAAATCTTCAGTGCTTTTTCATGAAGTTCTTTGGCTTGACTGTTTTCTCCTAGGTGGTTGTAAACTAATGCCAAGTTGTTATAACTTGTTGCTACATCGGCATGATCTTCACCAAAAATCTTTTTGTAAATCATCAGTGCCTTTTCGTGAAGTTCTTTGGCTTGTTTGTATTCTCCCAGGTGGCTGTACACTAATGCCAAGTTGTTGTAACTTGTTGCTACATTTGCATGATCTTCACCAAAAATCTTTTTGTTAATCATTAGTGCTTTTTCGTGAAGTTTTTTGGCTTGACTGTTCTCTCCCAGGCTGTTGTACACTATTGCCAAGTCGTTATAACTTGTTGCTACATCGGCATGATCTTCACCAAAAATCTTTTTGCGAATCGTTAGTGCTTTTACGTGAAGTTCTTTGGCTTGATTGTATTCTCCCAGGCTGCTGCAAACTAATGCTAAGTCGTTATAACTCTCTCCTACATCGGCATGATCCTCACAAAAAATCTTTTTGCGAATCATCAGTGCTTTTTCGTGAAATTCTTTGGCTTGATTGTACTCTCCCAGGCTATTGTACACTTTGCCAGTCATGTTCAAAACCCTCCCTTTACGAGTTAACGCACCTGTTGAAGTGTCCTCTATGTTTCCCAGTAGGTTGCATGCTAGGTCGACCACATTTTTCGCAAAGAAGATATAAGAGTTTTTCTCACAGACACTGGCGAGAGTATATAGCCAATCAATAACTGTATCCAAATCTACGAAGGGCGTAAACCGTTCTACAAAAGTGCTTTCATCCAAACTAAACTCTGACGTCATGTACTTAAGTACAGATTCACAGTGGGGCCTCAATGTTTTACAAAACGCATAATTCTCGTCATTTTCGTCGAGCTCAACCTTGAAAATCTTTACCGCTTCTGCCATGGTGTGGTCCCTCTTCCGTGATTTCAAGTTAAACATCTCGCCTCGTTTCAAAACTTCATGCACAACTTTGTGCAAACGTAAATAAGTTCGCTCACCCCCATCTTCGGAATGAACAAGACTTAAGGAAGACCTTACAATCTTTGCCTTCATTAAAACCTCTTGATGGTCCTTTCCTTGGGCTTTGACGAATTTTAAAACAGTTTCGAGTGGAAGATCATCGTTAGCGCAGAACGAAAGAAAAGAGAATGCATGACGAAGAACCTCGTCTGTGTCAACAGCTCTTTGGATAGCCATTTCTACGGCGGCCATTGTTGTTTTATCATAGGCTGAACTCTCATTAGCAAGGACAGTTTCCGCCTCTTTACGTTGACTGTATGTTGATGCGTCTTGAAGGTATGCTTTCCAATCATAATTTGAAGACCCACTGGTCACAACAGTTTGTACGTAATAAGCAGCAGCAGCTAAGGCCAGTGGCTGAAAATCGAGAAGTTCCGCGACATTTTCTGCTTGTACTGGCTCTGAAATTTGCGATACTGTTTCTAGCAATTCCACCGCCTCTTCCCGCCTCATTCCTTTACTTAACGATTCATGATACGTGTGAGGAGCGTTTTGAGGAATTGTACCACTATCTTGGGTGGTAATCAGCACTTGCCCATGGCCCCATTCCTTACTGCCAGTTTGAGGTAGTAAGTCGCGGACTAAACGTAAGTCAGTCACATTGTCCGCTATTATCAACCATTTGATGAACTTGCTGGTCTTCGGCAAAATCAAGCGATGAAGTGTTTGAATTGCTTCAATAGGTTTCTCTCTTTTTAAAGATTCCAAGCTTGTCAACGCGTATTCTGTTATCCCTAAGTGTCTTCCAAGGGTGAGGTAAGAGTCAGCAAGTGTCTCAACGCTTTCTGTGTTTATTGTCGCAGCAAAGATAAGATTATCAGTTTGTTCAGAAAAGAACTTCTGTCCAATTTCCCGCGCAAGTTGGCTCTTGCCACATCCTGGATTTCCTGACAAATACACTGTACTGACTGTTCCGCTAGAGCCATTGTTAAGTTCCTCCATTTTGTTAGTGATCCTTTCAATGTCATGCGAGCGGATGATGATATCATGTGGTGGGCGCGACGCGAGAATGCAAAATGGCTGCAGTTCCACACTTATTTCCTGTGTGAGAGAAACCAGGGCAGCTTCGGTACTTTGAAGAGTGCTTTTTGTCAGGTCTAACTCGGCTTGGAGATTACGAGCTTCTTTCTTAATCTTTTCCACTTCCATGGTTGGAAACGTCGTCTGGTTCTTTATTTCTTGAATCTCAGTTATAGCAAGACCTAGGGATGTAAAATCGTTCAACAGTCTGTCTACAGAAGTTCTGAAGTCGGCATCTGTCAATTTAGCCTCGGTGATATGAGCGATCTCGTTTCGCACCTGACGAATATCATCAACCACTTTATAGACAGCTGGGCTTAAAGTGGTGCCAACGGTGTCTGAGTACAGGATGGCAAAAAACAAACAGGTACAGTCCCACTTTGCCGTGTTACCATTGTGGATTGTTGCCAGACAACGGGCGTTTTTCTTGTGACTTGCTTTAGATTCATTGTTGTAGAAATCACGACCATTTTGTGCCGTGTCTTTCCATTCTCCAATTGACGTTGCTTTATAGAGGAAATCCCATTCGTTTTTGAAAATCTGCCGCAGCCCCACTGGAACCAAATCAAATGCTATGTAACAGAGTCTGAAGTAGTTTAGTTGCTCTTGTGAGTATTCCATCTGACCAACTTACAATCCTGTGAGAGATATTTGTTTTTAACTTATTTTCAGTCAGGTCAAAAATAGGTTGTTTACTTATTCTTATTGAAAATGTCAACTAGAGACCGGTGATGAACACAGGAATCGCAAAAGATTATGAAAAGCTAGTAACCAATTATGAACTCCGTTAAATAAGAGACGGCAGATTAAGTATCTACAGTTTTAGGCTATTCGTTTAGATAAGCGACCACTCGTAAGCTTGAAACACAACTTGCTTGCCGGGTGCTTCGCTCATGACGTACTTTAAAGATTTGTTTATTTAGTTTAAAGTTCCAAGGGGTGGGGAGGGGTGGGGGGATAGAAAGGGGGTTGACTCGTCCTCAGTCGTCTCTGTTTGGATCGCACACGTGACTGAAGGGAGAGCGAGGGTTGATGGGAAGGAGGAAAACGAAAGGGAAAGACTATGTCCCCGCAGCCTAAACTCTCCCCCCGCGCTTTTCACGTTAATATTATCGAGTTTACGCAACGGGACGGCAGGAAGGAGAGGACGCACAACGCGCTAACGCTTGTGTGTGACAAACAAGACAAGGCTATTAATTGTGTGCTTTATTATGATCTTCACTTCACATAAAAGTTTTCTGGTCATTTACTAAAAGATCTGTTTAAAGGACTGAAAGGAGGGCTAACTTTGACGAAACGTTGTTTCAAACAAAATTATTAATGTCACGCTGGTCACACAAGTTTGCCGTCTTTCCTATCCTGTCCTGTGCATAAGTTCATTATTAATAGGAGACTAAGAGACGACTGGGGAAGCGGGTCTTGTCATTCCTTAATGTTACCGAACTAGAACTGGCCGGAAGAAGTTTGCTGACGTATTGTGCACATCGAGAAAATCATACAGCGCTTTTCTCACTGGAGCAAAATGCAATGTGCAAACCGTTTTAGTTAAACAAGAAACTGAATACCAGCTAATTGAATTATGTTGCTCTGTGTCACTTTTCCTAGTATTATGGAGTAATTTTCATGGGATGAAGACTATTAGACAGGAGGGCGTTCGTTTGAGAGGCGTCCAATACAAACCTAACAGAATGGGGGGAAGGGGGCGGGGGTGGATCGAGGTTATCAGACAAGAGGCGTTTATTTGAGTGGAGACGTCTATTAGACCATTTTTAAAACCAACCAGTGAAAACTAAGGGTGCATTTCTTTACTAAAATCCGAGATCAGAAGATCGTTAAGAAAAGAAACGATGTATCCAAAGAACAATTATTTTTCATTCATTTGTATAGCAACGACCCACAATATTCAGTGACGGTATCCTGCTTGGAGAAAGAATAACACTGCTGCTGACAATGTTGCAAGTTTGCTGATCTTTCATTGTATTTTGGATGGTTAGCTTCATGATACAGCTTTAGACGGGACAAGTGAAGATGAGTCTTGAAATAAGATATGCACTGGAAAAGTAACGTCTTGCAAGACGCCCCGCGAAGTTGTGTAGCAGTTTTTTCCTAGAGTTGTCCTTGTGAACTACAACAATGTAGGTCCTGTTCGTATTGCAATGTTATCACCCCGATAAACAGATAAAAGTTGTTGTTTAATCCATGCCTCAGGTACAAAAATGGCCGTAAAGATGAGCAGTGTTGTCAAACACTTTCGAGTTACCGCTGGCAGTTATTGCTGAGTATTAATCTTTTCGGATCCGTAGTAGAAACGACTCGGATCATGTATCGTGTATCCGGTTTTGGATACGATCCAAAGAATCCACCTCCGCTGTGGATCATTTGGATCAATAATCCCTTTTTGGGTTTTATGAAAGAAACGAAAAATCCGTTGTTGGATTAAAAACCTGGATTTGGATTTTAGTAAAGAAACGCACCCTAAAAGTCTATTTGAATTAGTGCAGTACAATTATTTTGTTTGTGTGTGTGCTGTAGGCCGTTTCGACTAGCGCCTCAATTGAATGGCAAGTTGAGGGTAACAGATACTCTAAAGGTAAATATTACTTGAGTGAACGAAGGATAAAAAGTAGGAAGGAGATAAATCCTGTTTGTATGCAAGCATTGTCGACCCCAGAGCTTCTCCCTTGTCCCCCCCTCCACTACTCCACCCCTAAAAAACCAAGCTCTGGAGTCGAGAATGGTAAGGTGTGGGTGTTACGAGTAGCACTACCGTCCCATAGACAGGAAAAGAGTGCGCAGAGAGGGGGGGGGAGATGACGAAAATATAGCAAAAGAGAACAAGGTGGGTTTTACAAAAGTTCTCTCAAAGTTCATCATTTTTTTGCCACTGAAATTGTTAATTCTTAGTCTTAAAAAAAATTACACGAAAATTTCTTTTAGCTTTTATTCCTTTCACTCCTAGACCGAGTTATGGTGAGATGACCCGTTGTTTTAATTTGCACCTGTGGACCTTTTAACGGTGCAATCACGCAGACGTTCTAAACGCGTAACGAAGCCCTAAGAACGCGAGTCTGCGTGGGAACTACGTACGATTCCGGTCGTCGCTTTAATAACTAGTTTTAACTCTCCACCCGAAAAGTAACGAGAGACGACTGGAAATATATGTCCACGTGCGCAGACTTGTATGTTTAGTAATAGTGATACCATTTAAATGAAAACTCTCCTTCTTTGGCCGTTCTCTTTGCGAGAATTTTTACCTTTTTTTTGTGGTTGTTTTTCTGAAATTTTAAGTTAGCCACTTACAGGACTGACAGGGATGAAATTTATGAATATGACCCAGACATCACAGCACCCAAATAATTGCAAATGATGATTTGGTAGTGTTCCAAACATGAAAAAATCTTTCGTGGACAACGATTGACCCACTGTGATCGATGTATTATTCAGGCTATGGGATGGTAACGACCCCTTTATGCACGTATTTTTAGCGACAGAGCGACCTTAAGCGGTCATGATGATCCATTCTTCAGTAACCTCGCAGACGAACAAGGAAGTGTACTCACGGCAAATGTTGTCTGAAGAACATTATAACGGTTTCGAAGAACAAGAAAGTCATAACAAATGAACTGTTTTCTTCACCACAAACTCTACACCACGCACCGAATAGTGCTCAAGACAGTGGCAATAATTACCTATGCCGAAGCCATCAAACCGTCGGACCAAACACGACGATGTTAAAACTCTTGATCCGGCTTTTAACGACAAGTAGATCTTTATAAACGGCCAGCACATACAAAACTTCCTATTATGTAAAACTAAGACCAACAAAATTTGCGTGGATTACTCTGTGACTATGTGAACCCGACTAACCAAGGAAAAAATTACTCACCTTGCCCAAAAGAACCCAAGGAAATTGGATTTAATAACGCATGAGATAATACCGTACGATGAAGAAGCGGAACTGCAGAAAATGAAAGTGACCTGAAGGAAGTTGCTGTCACGTGACCAATAATACAGACGGTCACGTTATTTTGGACAGTCACGCTATTTGTAAAAACTACGGAGCCGTGGCCTGGAGGGTGGGAACTCTCCTCGAAAAAGGAGGCGTATGCTAGTCGGAAAATTAGAATTAAGACGGAATCCATCAGGAAATTGAGCAATTTTAATTTTCAGTGATGTAATTAGTTATCTGTAATAACATCAAAGAAAATTTCTCATGAGAGCCCGAGAAAACAAATGTCCAATTCCACAAAATGACATCTTTCACATGAAATTTTCAGAATTTTACCCGTGTTATCACAATTATTGTGAAATTTGACAGTTATTTTCTCGGGCTCCAATGAGAAATAGTCTTTGGTGTTATTAAAGATAAATAATTACATGGATAACCCTTGAAAAATGTAAAAAGAATGCAATGTTGTTTAAATTATTCTGATACAAGGTTTTTGTCCACTGAAAATTAAAATTACTCTATTTCCTGATGGATTATGTCTTAAGCCCCTAAAGGAGACCAATCTTGGCTTGGCTCCAAAAGGAGACAAAATTTGGTTGTTTTCATATAGCTATTTATTTGTCCGTAACCCAGAGCAGGAGCCCATCATCATCATCATAATCATTTGATGGGCTCCTGCCCAGACCAATGCCTTCATAGGTAAAAAATATTGGCTTACCGTCCTGAACACCCTAAGTGAAAACAAAATCTCCTATTTCTATAGCTAAGCGAGGCGACGAGCATCCCCGTCATGATTTTCAAATTGGAGTCCCCGGAGTTCCCGGGTGGGGTGACGGTGGGTGGGGGGAGTATGTGCGCATGCAGGACCAGGATGAAGATGAGTCGCAATTAAAAAAAAAAAACAAAACAAAACAAAGCCAACTTTTTCCAAGTAGAAGCTGGTCATATCTTTGTCCAATTCAATTCAAAGTGTGAATAAAATTGAATTGACTGGAAATGAGTAGACAGAAGGAGAAGAGAATAGTAAGTTTTCGAAAGCAATGACCACGTAGTCAACACTTGATGAATAAAAGGACTAACTCCTTGAGTAAATTTAGGTTTATACCATAACATAGGGCATGGTTGGTTAACATCGAGTGAACAAATTAATAAGAAAAGATCCCAATTAAAATTATTTCACCTGAATGTGGTATAAACAACAAATGCCAAGCCTTTTGCTAAAATCCCTTGTAAGCGGCCGCTCTCCATAAGTTTATCTCAAGGTCGTATTTCTCGTAAATGACCATCTCTAGTTGCAACCACTTTTTCGAATTTCCGAGATGGTTACTTTCAAGAACTTTGAATGTAGTGAAATTGTCTACCCTTTTTAAGACTAACAGCCCCCATGGCCAAACCATACACTATTTAGCGGCATCTACAGGTTAAGGCCAAATAAGAAAGTGCCCCTGTTGATTGACATTGTAATTGGTGTGGGTAAATTTCAGTGATAAGCTGATCCAGAAAGAAACCGCATCTCATCCACATAAAGGTGTTTAAGTTTTAAGCCCACCTCTCAGGAAATTCTTTTTTTTCTTTACTCCTCCGGCCTGATAAACAAAAGAAACATAACGCCCACCCTTAAGATCATGCAAGGTGATTTTTCATAACCAAGTAGTGTGGAGATGTCTTTGTACCCCATAATGAGGCTACTATAAAATCAAGACTCTAATTCCAAATATCTCCAGGTTACCTGTAAACATTGCGATCAATAAACTCATGAACTTCTCTAATAACTTTACAGTGGCGGATCCAGACCAGACCAGACCATTCAGAGAAGGGGGGCAGGGGGTGGGGGAGGCGGTCACCTAGGCCCTTAGATAAGGGGAGGAGCGGTCTCCAAACAAAATATTTTCGGCCTTTCAGGCCTCAGTTTGGTCTAAAAATAAGGGGGAAGGGAGAAGGGGCCCCCGGGCTCCTCCCCTGGATCCGCCACTGCTTTATCAATATACAATTCATAAAATATATTTCAGCTTGCTTTGATGTTCGTGACAAATTATTGCCAAAGTAACGTAATTGCCATATGATGTAATTTTTATTCTTAAAATGGCTTTTGTTATACAGTATGAACTTGTATGGTCATACAAATTAAAGCTCGTTGTTGTTGTTGTTGTCTCACATAAATTTCTACATGACGTAAACTAAATATTTTTTGTAGCAAGTCTTTGGGCGTGAAACAATGCAGTTCTTCATTTGCAGCTTTCTGTGTGTTTTCAACATCACCTCTTTGATTCTCTTCCAGTCTCGCCTTAAAGTCAATTATAAAATACATGTTCGGAAATCCATCAAAAACGGAATCTGGATGGCGAATTACTTTATCTGCCATCTTTTCACGCACGCGTACATACATAAAACGATAAACGAAACCCTTTATACAGCCACGATGAGCAATACCTTTCATGACATACATAAAAAGGTTTTCTTTTTTTCTTGAGTATGGGATACCAGTTCTCTTCAACAACATTTCCCGAATCGCTAGTCATGAATTAAATCGCAAACTCTCGTATCCCGTTTATAGTGGGCTAGTAATATTACAATTCCGCATCTCCCTCTCCAATTCCCTAAAATTCAGTATCCCAGCCTAAGAATAAGCCAAATCTCGGATACCGAATAACTTATTAGGGATCCTCCAACCCTCTTGCGTAGCAGTCGTCTCCGTTTCCTTTTAGCTGAGTGGGAAAAGCACACCAGACGCGCGAGGGCAACAATCGGCGACAAAACTGTTGAGACATTGTACTCGAATAGGGTAACTTCGGAGAACAAAAGATTCCGCACCCCTCCCCTGTCCCCTCCATTCAAAGTTGGGGTGTGAGTTGTTTTCTATAGGTAGCTAGAACAAGGGCACAACATTGCACGGAGGGGATGGGAGAGGAATGCTATATTTCCTCCTTTCGAAGTTAGTAAAACGTAAAAAAGCCCAGTTTTGGGCGAAGTGTCTCAACTCATTTTGTCGCCGATTGAAGGTGCATAAGAGGGAGCAAAAAATAGAAACAGAGTGAAGGGGCAAAAAAGGAAAGGAATCACCTTATTTGGCTAACAGGTGACAGAAGCGACTACTACGCAGACTAAATTGCCAATTAAGACAATTTATAGGATCAAACAACATGCTTTGTCGAGCCGATCTTCAGCTCCACTGCTTAGAAGGTGTTTGTTTACTAATGCCAACTCACTACGAATTCTTTCTACATACTTATGATCTTCACCGAAAATTTGTTTCCTAATCGTTAGCGCTTTTTCGTAAAGTTTCTTGGCTTAATAATATTGTCCTACGCGGTTATACACTGATGCCAAGTTGTTATAACTTGTTGCTACATCGGCATGATCTTCACCAAAATCTTTTTGCGAATTAACAGCGCTTTTTCGTGAAGTTCTTTGGCTTGATTGTATTCTCCCAGGCGGATATACACTGATGCCAAGTTTTCATAACTTGTTGCTACATCGGCATGATCTTCACCAAAAATCTTTTTGCGAATTATCAGTGCTTTTTCGTGAAGTTCTTTGGCTTGATTGTATTCTCCCAGGCGGTCGTACACTAATGCCAGGTTGTCATAACTTCCTGCTACATCGGCATGATCTTCACCAAAAATCTTTTTGCGAATTATCAGTGCTTTCTCGTGAAGTTCTTTGGCTTGATTGTATTCTCCCAGGCGGTTATACACTAACGCCAAGTTGTCATAACTTGTTGCTACATCGGCATGATCTTCACCAAAAATCTTTTTGCGAATTATCAGTGCTTTTTCATGAAGTTCTTTGGCTTGATTGTATCCTCCCAGGCGGTTATACACTAGTGCCAAGTTGTCATAACTTGTTGCTACATCGGCATGATCTTTACCAAAAATCTTTTTGCGAATTATCAGTGCTTTCTCGCCAAGTTTTTTGGCTTGAATGTATTCTCCCAGGGTGTCGTACACTGATGCCAAGTTGTTATAACTTGCTGCTACATCGGCATGATCTTCACCAAAAATCTTTTTGCGAATTACCAGTGCTTTTTCGTGAAGTTCTTTGGCTTGATTGTATTCCCCCAGGCGGATATACACTAGTGCCAAGTTGTTATAACTTGCTGCCACATCGGCATGATCTTCACCAAAAATCTTTTTGCGAATTATCAGTGCGTTCTCGTGAAGTTCTTTGGCTTGATTGTATTCTCCCAGGGTGTCGTACACTAATGCCAAGTTGTTATAACTTGTTGCTACATTGGCATGATGTTCACCCAAAATCTTTTTGTAAAGAATCAGTGCTTTTTCGTGAAGTTCTTTGGCTTCATTGTATTCACCCAGTTTGTCGTACACTAATGCCAAGTTGTTATAACTTGTAGCTACATTGGCATGATCTTCGCCAAAAATCTTTTTGTAAAGAATCAGTGCTTTCTCGTGAAGTTCTTTGGCTTGATTGTATTTTCCCAGAGTGTCGTACACTAATGCCAAGTTGTTATAACTTGTTGCTACATCGGCATGATCTTCACCAAAAATCTTTTTGCGAATTAACAGTGCTTTTTCGTGAAGTTCTTTGGCTTCATTGTATTCTCCCAGTTTGTCGTACACTAATGCCAAGTTGTTATAACTTGTTGCTACATTGGCATTATGTTCGCCAAAAATCTTTTTGTAAATTATCAGTGCTTTTTCGTGAAGTTCTTTGGCTTGATTGTATTCTCCCAGGCGGTTATACACTTTTGCAAAGTTGTTATAACTTGTTGCTACATCTGCATGATCTTCACCAAAAATCTTTTTGCGAATTATCAGTGCTTTTTCGTGAAGTTCTTTGGCTTGATTGTATTCTCCCAGGCTGTGGTACACTTCGCCACTTACATTTAAAACCCTCCCTTTACGAGCAAACGCACCAGTTGAATTGTCGTCTAAATTCCCCAGTAGATCGTATGCTAAGTTGACAACAATTTTCGCAAAGTAGAAATAGGAGCTTTTTTGACAGACCCAGGCGAGAGTATGTAGCCAATCAATAATTGTATCCAAATCTATGAAGGGCGCAAACCTTTCTGAAAAGGTGCTTTCATCTGAGGTCATCTGATTAAGTAAAGATTCACAGTGGGGCCTCAGTTTTTTACAAAACGCATAATTCTCGTCATTTTCTTTGAGTTGGGACTTGAAAATCTTTACCGCTTCTGCTATGGTGTGATCACTCTCCCGGTATGATTTCAGGTTAGCTATCTTGCATCGTTTCAAAGCGTCATACACAACTTTATGTAAACGTAAATAAGTTCGTTCACCCCCTTCTTCGGAATGAACAAGAGTTAAAGAGGACCTTACAATCTTTGCCTTTATTAAAACCTCTTGATGGCCCTTTACTTGGGCTTTGACGAACTTTGAAACAGTTTCGAGTGGTAGGTCGTCGTTAGCGCAGAGCGAAAGAAAAGAGTATGTATGAAGAAGAACCTCGTCTGTTTCAACAGCTCTTTGGATAGCCATTTCTACTGCGGCCATTGTTGTTTTAGCGTAGGCTGAACTCTCATTAGCAAGGACAGTTTCGGCCAATTTTCGCTGGGTGTATGTTGATATGTCTTGAAGGTATGCTTTCCAATTATAATTTGAAGACCCACTGGTCACAACAGTTTGCACGAAATAAGCAGCAGCAGCTAAGGCCAGTGGCTGAAAATCGAGAAGTTCAGCGACATTTTCTGCTTGGACTCGCTCGGAAATTTGTGATACTGTTTCCAGCAATTCCACTGCTTCGTCCCGCCTCATTCCTTTGCTTAACGATTCATGATACGTGTGAGGAGCGTGTTGAGGAATTGTACCACTAACTTGAGTGGTAATCAGCACTTGCCCATGGCCCCATTCTTTACTGCCAGTTTGAGGAAGCAAATGGCGGACCGAGCGTAAATCAATCACATTGTCTGCTATTATCAACCATTTGGTAAACCTGCTGGTCTTCGGCAAAATCAAGCGATGGAGCTGTTCAATTGCTTCAATAGGTTTCTCTTCTTTTATAGATTCTAAGTCTGTCAACGCGTATTCTGTTATCCCCAAGTGTCTCCCAAGGCTGAGGTAAGAGTCAGCAAGTTTGTCAAGGCTTTCTGTGTTCAGTGTTGCCACAAAGATAAGATCATTGTTTTGTTCAGAAAAGAACTCTTGTCCGATTTCCCGGGCAAGATGGCTCTTGCCACATCCTGGATTTCCTGACAAATACACTGTACTGACTGCTCCGCTTGAACTTTTGTAAAGTTCCTGCATTTCGTTACTGATTCTTTCAATATCATGCGAGCGGCTGATAGTATCGTGTGGTGGGCACGATGCGAGAATGCAAAATGGCTGAAGTTCCACACTTATTTCCTGTGTGAGAGAAACCAGGGCAGCTTCGGTACTTTGAAGAGTGCTTTTAGTCTGGTCTAACTCGGTTTGGAGATCACGAAATTGCTTCCTAATTTTTTCCACTTCCTTCGTCGGAAAGGTCTTCTGGTTTTTATTTCTTGAATGTCAGTTATAGCAAGACCAAGGGATGTAAAAGCGTTCAACACTCTGTCTACAGAAGTTTGGAAGTCGGCATCTGTCAACTTAGCCTCGGTGATATGAGCGATCTCGTTTCGTACCTGACGAATATCATCGACCTCTTTACGGATAGCTGGGCTTAAGATTTTACCAATGCTGTCCGAGTACAGAATGGCAAAAAACAAACAGGTACAGTCCCACTCTGCCGTGTCACCATTGTGGATTATTGCCAGACATCGGACGTTTTTCTTGCGACTTGCTTTATATTCCTTGTTGTAGAAATCACGACCATTTTGTGCCGTGTCTTTCCATTCTCCAATTGACGTTGCTTTATAGAGGAAATCCCATTCGTTTTTGAAAATGTGCCGCAGTCCCACTGGAACCAAATCAAATGCTATGTAGCAGAGTCTGAAGTAGTTCAGTTGCTCTTGCGAGTATTCCATCACCAGCCTATAATCCTAGTAAGAGATATTGCCTATTAGCTTATTTTCTCGTCAGGCCAAAACAAAGATTATTTACTTATCATTTTGAAAATGGCAAGAATCACCGCTGATTATGTAACACAGTTATTCCATAAAATGATTATGAAAGGTAAGAACCTTATGATAAACTAAGTTTAATACCGGACGCTAGGTAAGTAGCCTTAGTTCTGCGCTGGTAGATAAACCAGGGCCACCCAACGAGAATTTAGTTCAAAACCACTTAAACATAGCATCGTTAAACGTATTTTAGTATTTAAAACGATAGATATAGGCATATTTCTATTCCCTATTTTTCATCTGTTCGGATTTCCTAGCTGAAAGGCTAGTGATCCGAAAATTATAGGGATCAAAACTTACCTTTTCGAAAATTTCAGCCAGAAAAAAGGCTCCCGAAAATTCTAGGTGACCCTTTTAGAGTAAAAATCCGTGAAAAATGGGCAATTATACCATTTTTTAAATGTTCGAAAATCCTAGGAGAGGCAGGCAAGCAAGAAATTTTACAACAAATGTTCCGAGAATTCTAGATCTCAAATCGTCTTCCGAACAGATATTTTCCGAAAATTGACGTTGGGTGTCCCTGATAAACGATTGCGTCTGGGCTTTAAACACACCTTGCTTTCCAGGGACCTGGCTCAATCAGCAGTGTGTTTTTACGACAGTACCAAAAATGGTCTAATGGACGCCAGGGGCTTTTATTTAGTTTTAAGGGTCAAGAAGTGGGGAATGGTGAGAGGGGGTGGAGCAGGTGTAAATAGGTGGCATTTAGACTGATATATGTAAAAACCTCAACTCAACTAATATTCGATAATATGCTTCAAGAACTAATTGCTTTGCTATCAAGGTAGAACAGGCCCAACGAAAGTTGCTGATATATTGAGCACATCAAGAATATCAAGAGCACTTTCCTTACTTTGAACTTGGCGTTGAACACGATGCAATGTACAAAACATTGTTAATCAAGCAATAAACCAAATACCGGTGAATTGAATGGTTTTGCTCTATTTCGCTATTCCCGAGTGTTGTGGAGCAATGGTCATGGGAAGGCATTTGTTAGACGGCTGGGGACGTTTAATAGTGAGGGGTGCCTATTACAAACAGTGTGTGGAAAGTCGTTTAATTTGAGACAAGAGCCGGGCCTTTATTTGTATTTGAAAAGGGGCTTCTCCTAGATCATGTATTTCATTCGAAGTCAGTGTCTCCTTTTTCAAACACATTAATGACGATTTACTTTATCTTGATCAGTGCACAAATTTTAAGAGTTCTTGGCCTTTTCGAACAGTGCCTTGTTTGGATGACAAGTTGAGGGTAACAGATATCCTAGCTGAGTATAAAAGTAGAGTGGAAGAAGGATAAGAAGCAGGAAGAAGATAAAACCTGTTTGTCTAGAAGTGAGCTCTTTTCAATATGCAAGCTCTGTCGACTCCAGAGCTCTTTTCTGTCCGCGGCTGGTAGGCTGGTAGGCTGAACTCTCATTAGCAAGGACAGTTTCCGCCTCTTTACGTTGACTGTATGTTGATATGTCTTGAAGGTATGCTTTCCAATCATAATTTGAAGACCCACTGGTCACAACAGTTTGCACGTAATAAGCAGCAGCAGCTAAGGCCAGTGGCTGAAAATCAAGAAGTTCGGCGACATTTTCTGCTTGTACTCGCTCTGAAATTTGCGATACTTTTTCCAGCAATTCCACTGCCTCGTCCCGCCTCATTCCTTTGCTTAACGATTCATGATACGTGTGAGGAGCGTTTTGAGGAATTGTACCACTATCTTGGGTGGTAATCAGCACTTGCCCATGGCCCCATTCTTTACTGCCAGTTTGAGGAAGCAAGTCGCGGACTAAGGGTAAGTCAATCACATTGTCTGCTATTATCAACCATTTGGTAAACTTGCTGGTCTTCGGCAAAATCAAGCGATGGAGCTGTTTAATTGCTTCAATAGGTTTCTCTTCTTTTAATGATTCTAAGCCTTTCAACGCGTATTCTGTTATTCCTAGGTGTCTTCCAAGGGTGAGGTAAGAGTCAACAAGTGTCTCAATGTTTTCTGTGTTAAGTGTCGCAGCAAAGATAAGATCACCGTTTTGTTCAGAAAAGAACTGTTGTCCAATTTCTCTGGCAAGTAGGCTCTTGCCACATCCTGGATTTCCTGACAAATAAACTGTACTGACCGTTCCGCTAGAGCCACTGTTAAGTTCCTCCATTTTGTTAGTGATTCTTTCAATGTCATGCGAACGGCTGATGATAACATGTGGTGGGCGCGATGCGAGAATGCAAAATGGTTGAAGTTTCGCACTTACTTCCTGTGTGAGACATTTGTTTTCTTCTTTTGTTGAAACTAGGGAAGTTTCTGTACTTTGAAGAGTGCTTTTTGTCTGATCTAACTCGGCTTGGAGATCACGAACTTGCGTCTCAATTTTTTCTACTTCCTTCGTCGGAAAGGTCGTCTGGTTCTTTATTTCTTGAATCTCAGTTATAGAAAGACCAAGGGATGTAAAAGCGTTCAACACTCTGTCTACAGAAGTTTGGAAGTCGGCATCTGTCAACTTAGCCTCCGTGATATGAGCGATCTCGTTTCGCACCTGACGAACATCATCGACCTCTTTACGGACAGCTGGGCTTAAGGTTTTACCAATGCTGTCTGAGTACAGAATGGCAAAAAACAAACAGGTGCAGTCCCACTCTGCCGTGTCACCATTGTGGATTATTGCCAGAGATCGGGCGTTTTTCTTGCGACTTGCTTTAGATTCTTTGTTGTAAAAATCATGTCCATTTTGTGCCGTGTCTTTCCATTCTCCAGTTAACGTTGCTTTATAAAGGAAATCCCACTCGTTTTTGAAAATCTGCCGCAGTCCCACTGGAACCAAATCAAATGCTATGTAGCAGAGTCTGAAGTAGTTCAGTTGCTCTTGTGAGTATTCCATCTGACCAACTTACAATCCTAGTAAGAGATATTGCCTATTAGCTTATTTTCTCGTCAGGCCAAAACAAAGATTATTTACTTATCATTTTGAAAATGGGAAGAATCACCGCTGATTATGTAACACAGTTATTCCATAAAATGATTAGGAAAAGTAAGTAACTAATGTTAAACTAAGTTTAATACAGGACGCTAGGTAAGTAGCCTAGTTCTGCGCTGGTAGATAAACCAGGGCCACCCAACGAGAATATAGTTCAAAACCACTTAAACATAGCATCGTTAAACGTATTTTAGTGTTTAAACGGTAGATATAGGCATATTTTTACTCCCTAAAAATTTTTCATCTGTTCGGATTTCCCAGCTGAAAGGCTAGTGATCCGAAAATTATAGAGATCAAAACTTACCTTTTCGAAAATTTCAGCCAGAAAAAAGGCTCCCGAAAATTCTGGGTGACCTTTTTGGGGTAAAAATCTGTGAAAAATGGGCAATTATACCATTTTTTAGATGTTCGAAAATCCTAGGAGAGGCAGGCAAGCAAGAAATTTTACAACAAATGTTCCGAAAATTCTAGATCTCAAATCGTCTTCCGAACAGATATTTTCCGAAAATTGACGTTGGGTGCCCCTGATAAACGATTGCGTCTGGGCTTCAAACACGCCTTGCTTTACAGGGAGCTGGCTCAATCAGCAATGCGTTTCTGGAGGGTGTGAATGGGGTTAACAGTTAACTGATATTTGGCCTAAAAAACAGTAGTTAACTGATAATTGCCAAAAAAATTAATAGTTAAGTGATATTATATTAATGTCAATGAAAGCAACAAAGGTTTGCAAACAGAAATGCTATGTTCTGACATTTCTCTTTCCCGCTGATGACTCGGTGACACATTAACTGATATTACTATGTGCAAAAGGCACCAGGACAGTACCCGAAAAGCACAAAGCGTCAGTCAAAGAGCTTGTTGTAGACAACTCAACGAATAATTCATCTTCTAATATTAACAAGATTTCTGTGTTCGGAAAAGGAAAATACTGTTTTCACGGACCCAAAAGATCGTCAAGTTAAATATCTACCCAAATAAAAAAGCTGTGCTGTGACTCTTAGCACTGAATGTGGCCAAAAGGAATTTCTGAGGGTTCAAAGAAATCAGCAATCTTTATTTTAAGTACATGGAACTTGTCCTTACGAGAAATCATTTTTGTAACTGATGTTGTTTTTCTAACTATTGAGACTTTTTTGATAGAAAGAAAAGCCCGTGTTTAAACCGGTCTTTCTGAAACAGTTTCGGCAGTTTCATTTATTTCTTAGAATCCTTGGATATCTTTATGAGGCTTTTGAAATAAGCGAAATAGGTACTTCTGCGAAAAAGGTAACATTGAGGGACGCGAAAGAGGATGTCGACAAAATCTGTATCCAGGTACAAAAAACTTCTGACCAATGAGGTTGAAAACCTACATGCGTTTCTCACTTTAACATAAAACATTTATATTGCTTTGAACTACGCTTCGAAAGCGAATTCCTTATCGTCTAAGTTTGCGGAAAACGAAAACGCGAAGTGGGTCTTGTTTGACCCAGATGCTACCGAGCAAGAACAGGCCCGCAGAAAGTTGCGGAGGTATTGAGCACATCAAGAATACCAAGAGTGCTTTTAGCTTTTTTCACTTTGAATTTACGGAACAAAATGCAATGTGTACACCCTTGTCAATCACGCAAGAAACTGACTACCAGTTACACCTGTAACTGAACGTTTTTCCTCTAGCTACGTCACTTTATCCTAGTATTCTGAAATAATTGTCATTGGGACTCGCGTCTTAGTCGGGGCGTTCACATCAAATACAAATATAACAGCCTGAGTGGGATGGGGATCTTTACTAGAGAGAAGAGGAGTTTATTTGAGAGGAGGCGCCTTTTAGATCATTAACGATAAGTACAGTAATAGCCCGCGTATAAGAACCTGAATTTTTCAATTTAGCCTAAATAGGTTCTTATATAAATGGTACTTAAAGCAAATTTAGGCTACCGAGGTTCTTAAAATAGGTTCTTATATTTTCATATGAATTTCATCTGAATATACTATATATATTATAAATATCATCTGATAATACAGTGTAAATCATTTATTTGTACCATAGAGCAATGCCTATATAGGCAGTTCAGTGCAGGTACAGCATATGTCCTAGATGATGATCTTAATTCAGCAGTTTCTACCTATAAACTTTTACTGCAACCCCACTAATAAGAACCTAACTTAAAATTTTAGCCTAAATAGGTTCTTATGTGGAGGGGGCTTAAAATGAAAATTTTAGCCTAACAGGTTCTTAAAACCCAGGTTCTTATACGCGGGCTATTACTGTATATTATCACTCGATGTCAGTGTCTCCATTTTTCAAACCCGCCAAATGATGATGACGAAAAGTCTTTAAATCAAGGTCGTTCAATAATAACTTTTAGTGTTCTTGGCCGTTTCGACCAGCGTTTCGTTTAAATGGCAAACTGTGGGTAACAGATATTCTAGAGGTAAAGGATAAGCAAGGGGAGAGGAGATAACAAACAGAAGCCTAAACAGAGCACAAAAGAGAACAAAGTGCGTTACACAAAAGTTCATTAATTTTTTCGTTCTGTTTTCGCCGATGAAATTGTTGATTCTTGATCATAACTGAATACACGAAAATTCCTCTTGGAACTTTAACCCTGGATTTCAGACATAAATTCAGGCTTCTTTAATTAAGGGAGGAGCGTTGCGTGACGACACTAAAAACGGCTGTGTAGCATGACCGCTCACAAATGATACGGACTAGGGAGGAAGTCAGGTTTAGACTGCAAACGTGAACACAGACGTATGACTCACGTATCTCCGGTCGGTCGTCCCGGTCGAAACGTAAAGCGAGAGAAGCGACTGCCGGTACGGTACGCACGTGCGTACCTGAAAAAGTCGAGGGTGAAAAAAAAAAATAATAAAATAGGATACAAAAGTGAACGCTCCTCCTCCTGGGAGGAGCGTTGCGTGAGGACACTAAAAACGGCTTTGTAGCATGACCGCTTACAAATGATGCTGACTAGGGAGGAGTCAGGTTTAGACTGCAAACGTGAACACAGACGTATCTCCGGTCGGTCGTCCCGGTCGAAACGTAAAGCGAGAGAAGCGACTGCCGGTACGGTACGCACGTGCGTACCTGAAAAAGTCGAGGGTGAAAAAAATAGTAATAATAAAATAGGATACGAAAGTGAATAATGAAAAAACAAACAAACAAACAAACAAACCAAAGGGTAAGATAGGTAAAATGTAATTATTTTACGTCCACAGTTCGGCTCAATTCATTTAACAACGGACTGATTAATCTTTAGTTTTACACCCGACACTGACCCGAATGTCGGCTTCCAGAAAAGAGAGGTTATTCATTGGTGGACCGACTCTTCAATGATATATTTAGAGAAACAGCCAATTTAGAGAGGCGCAAATAGCTAGACTGGATGGTATAAAGCGTAAACGCATTGTTTTCACTTCGGCCTGTCTTTGCACTAGACGAAGTATAGGGCACGATTACATCAACGTAGGGTTCTTGCCTTCGTCGGTCAAAAATAATGTGGCAAACAGCTGTAAGAGAATCACTCATTTGCCAATAAAAGTCAAACTAGTATAAGTATGCAAACTAGTATAAGTAAAGCTTTTCGCTGCTTATATTTTCATCTAGGGCTGGTTTTAAATCCCTAATAAGAAGAGTCTCCTTGATTTTACCATGGGTATCTGATTTTCGTCTTACTAAAATGTCGAAATGGTACATTTCAAATTATGAACAGTCAGAAGTGACGTGTTCTGCAATAGCTGATGAATCAGGGGCACCCAACGACAGTTTCCTCTTAAATGCATTGAAAACACCTTATAGGCTATTCAGAGTACTTTTAGATCTCTGGAAATGAATTCTAAGCGGCGCTATAAAATTGTATCTGTTCGGTCATCCTAGGGGAACTTGCGTCTTTTCGAAATTACAAGGGTCTCAGTATTATTTTCTCGAAAATTTTAGATCCAATTTTAAGTTTTACGAAAGAGAGAATTTTTCTGATACCTCTCTCCATCGCATTTTGGAATCCGAAAAGTTTAGGTTTCCTTTTTCTACAAAAAAATAGCCAAATCCCGGGACTGAAATGCGAAAAATTGAACTTTAGAAAATCGGAGGGAATTTATTAGATATGCTTCGATAATTGTACATGAATGACTCATGAATTGAACGGTCATCTAGTAATTTCTAGCCTTCCTCAAGCTATAGAAAATTCTAGGGAATTTTTGCTTCTCCAAACAGATATTTTACAGAAAACAGTCGTTGGGTGCTCTTGATGAATGACCGTTACTGGTGATTACCGTGAAGTGTTCAGTTTTTCTGTCACGCAATCTCCGTTTGGTTTTGCCAATGTAGAAATCCTGACAGTCCCAACAACTTGCTTTATATACAACTTTTAGCTGAACTTTGGACATTTGAGAACGATTGAACCTGTCTTTGTAGGGGAAACGACCCCTTTATGCACGTACGTATTTTTAGCGACAGAGCGACCTTAAGCGGTCATGATAGTCCAGCCTTAATTAATCTCGGAGACGAACAAGGAATTGTAAGTCACCTCAAATGTTGTCTGGTGACGAACATTATAAGGGTTTCGAAGAACCAGAAAGTGATAACAAATGCCACTCTTTTCTTCACCACAAATTCTACACCACGCACCGAACAGTGCTCGAGACAGTGGCAACAATTACCTATGCCGAGGCCATCAAACCGTCGGACCAAACACGACGATGTTAAAACTCTTCATCCGGCTTTTAAAGCTTTTTAACAACAAGTAGATCTATATAAACGGCCGGCACATTCAAAACTTCCTATTATGTAAAACTAAGACCAACAAAATTTGCGTGGATTACTCTGTGGCTATGTTAACCCGAATATCCAAGGAAAAATTACTCACCTTGCCCAAAAGAACCCAAGGAAATTGGATTTAATAATGCGTGAGATAGTACGATGAAGAAGCGGAACTGTAGAAAATGAAAATGACCCCAAGAAGTTGCCGTCACGTGACCATACAGACGGTCACGCTATTTCGGATTTCGTAAACGTATGACGTCACGCTCGCATCGAAGTTTAACATGTGATTCATCTGCACTTCGATCGTCTGTATCCGACTTGTTTGATTTGTGGTGAGAGATTTTGTCCCGCTTTTTGGATCATTCCTCGATTGATTCCAATCAATTCAAACAAGAAGATGCCACTGCCTCCGTTTAAAGGATGTTTTGATGTTTCAAGCCTCTTCTTACTCCGCGGGGAAAAGGATCTTTCAGTGGATGTTACTGAATAACATCCTTTGAATGGCCCCAGATCACCAGGCTGTGTATCTAGGTGACAATTATACATCATCACTTTCCTTATTATACTGAATACATGTACAGTGTAAAAATCACCATACTTATATTTCACACTTGAGGAGAAGGATCAATATCGTTATTTGTTATCCCACTATTATGTCATTTTACCACACAGGGTCAAGAGAATGTGCAAAATATGAGGCTGTAATAATAATATTATTTAATAATATTTCTGCCTGATTTCGTTAAAATGACCGGTCACTAGGTTTTCGCCTGGCGCCGGGCACAGCCCGGCACCAGGCCAGTCTAGTGTCCAAAAAGGTAGGGGGCTTGCCGTCTTGGTTGGTTTGGCTGGATAGCCCAGGGACTGCCCTAACAGTGGGTGGGTGGATCAGGTCACGGGGCCAAAATTAGTGGGGTGGGGAGACACAACCCCTTCAGTAAGCAGCAGTGTTCATTAGAGGCTTTGACTGGTAAGTACCTTGTTCTTAATTTTCCCTAGCTAGCCACTGAGCTGAATCAGGCCTGTACAGCACCCGAAATGATCCTGACCCCGAAATGATCCCCAACCCTGAAATGATCCCCAAATCGACCCCGAAATGATACCGACCCCGAAATGATCCCCATTTCTCTTCACGTCGACCCCGAAATGATCCCCATTTAATTTTAGGAATGGAATGATATCCTAGAACTATGGATCGTGCAAAATGCACAACATTATAACTAATAAGCTTCACTAATAATCTTCACTTGCCCACATGACATTAATTTGGGATTACACTTTGAACTGGATTAAATGCCGGAAAATATTATTATCAAACAAATACACAAAGTCTAGTATATTTTTAGTAACACCATGAACTACAACTGATAATATCAAGAAACATAACATTTTTTTAAATTATTACTTAGGTGATTATAGCCCGGGTTATAGAGAAAACTGCATAGATGTTAAATTCTAAACATGATGTTAAAACTGCATGCCTTGGGTATTGAATTTTAAAAATGGTGTTTTAACACTTTTTAAAATCTTAAAATGATGTTGAAGATGCAGAAGTATATTTCATAATGTTGACCGGCCATACACGACTCCCTTTGGCCAAGTTGTTGTACATCTTTGACCTTTAAGCTTCATAGTTTGAGTTGTTCATAATGTTAACAGGCTATTCACATCTATCTTTGGCTCAGTTGCTGTTGCTTTGACCTTACCTTCATAGTTTAGCTCTTACGAGTACCGGTATATCTTGTAGTGACTTTCCTCTTTTGTAAGATATTATGGGAGGGTCTTTAAAGATTTCTCTAAGCAGCGGTTGGTTTTCTATAAGATACCATTTGTACATGATGATTTTTTTAAGATTCGGTACTGAGGGGCAATATTCTGTCACGAATGGTAGTATTTTCTTGTGGGTTTTTGTGTTGTTTTGCAAAGCCGACATTCTTTCGTGATGCTTGACTTCTGATAGGTGTTTATCTATCACTTTATCTCTATAACCCCTCATACGGAGTCGTCGCTTGAAATTAGTTATGTTCTCTTCGAACGTTTTCTCAGAAGAGTTTGTTCTGAGTAATCTTAAGGCCTCGCCTTTTATGAATCCTTTCTTAACCCCTGGGGGGTGACATGAAGAGAAGTACATGTATTGGAAAGTTTCTGTCGGTTTGAAGTGTGTACGCACATCTAGGATTGATTCCTTCTTAAATCTTTCTCCTTTGTAAATACATGTACCCAGAAAGGCGGTTTCTATTTCTGAAACTTCAGTAGTAAATTTAATGGTCGGGTGGTGGTTATTTGCTAGTTCGATGAATGAGTAAATTTCTTCTTTGTCTACATTCCACAATGAGAATATGTCATCGATAAATCTCTTCCACACTAGTGGTTTGTGCGGACTTTTGTTGATAATTTCTGTCTCTATTGCAGACATAAAAATGTTAGCAAATGCAACTGCCATTTTTGTTCCCATAGCTGTACCTTGTACTTGGAGGTAGTTTTTTCCAACAAATTGGAAAGAATTCTCCCTGCGAGGTATTGGCTGGGTATTGGAGGTTTGTTGTGATAGAATGTTTCGTATGCTTTGCATATAATGGTAATTCCTTCCTCCTGTGGGATGTTTGTGTATAGGCTAGTTACATCCATATAGACTAAAATAGCATTTTCGACGACCCTGGTTTTCTCTATGAAGTTGATAAAGTCTGTCGTATCTTTAAGATACGATTTTTGTGATTTAGCAATTGGTTGGGCATCCATAAACGTGATGAACTGTAGCAATATATAGTAATATCTTTTATTTTTTTGTTATCTTGTCTTTTAAAGTAGCCACCATACCACATCATATTATGTAATTTCCGGTCATAATTTTTGTTACTACAGCAGTGCTGTAGTAAGGAGTTTTCAGTATTTATGGTCAGTGGTTGTTACCATTTTGCTTAGGACTCGTGCTAGTTGCCGCCATGTTCTTGTTTATCACATGTGTGATTTAGGTTTACAATCCATGTAATCCTTCGCTCATCCGTATCGTGAAAGGCATACTAAGTTGTTAACTGAAGAGTTAAAGATTATTTGGAGATAAAGGAAAGATCTGATGATTCAAGTTTTTCTCTTTTTCATGTGAATAACAACGAAACTCCTTCGGATGCCAAGTACGACTTTCGAGGGCAGCCACAATTTTACTTCATATATATTTCTGTGAATTCGTGATATCGCAACTAAACGCCATTTCACTTTGTTTGACCAGTCGCTGCTAAAGTCTTCTTGACTCAGACTCATCCCAGTCATTATTTAAGTGTTTTTTGGGATGAGAGACGGTTGGGGATTAGGTCAAGGTGCGCGCGGGGTCTCATGGGAAGGGAAGAAGGAAAAATATTGTTCTTGACTGCAACGTTTTCAATTTGTAGCGAAATGTTAAACGCGATTTAAGAACATAAAGGTTGAAACAGATTTGTAATAATAATTCCGTTGCGGAATACAAGTTCCATTCCAAGAATTAATTGGGGATCATTTCGGGGTTGACGTGAAGAGAAATGGAGATCATTTTGGGGTCGGTATCATTTCGGGGTCGATTTGGGGATCATCTCAGGGTTAGGGATCATTTCAGGGTCGGGATCATTTCAGGGGCTGTACAGGCCTCTACTGAGAATGATAATGTTATAATAGCCTTAGTCTCTATTTTTATATTTTGCACGCATTGTCCCGCCTCGAATAGCCTTGCTAGCTGCGGGCAATACTTCTGTAAGTTTATGTGTTTATTAATAAAGTTTTGTTGTTGTTGTTGTTGTTGTTGATAATTGCAGAGCTCAGTGGCAGGCACAGACAGTCACCCATTGTCCTGGGTGGGGAGGATCAAAGTCTTGGTACCAAGGACACACTTAGCATAGGACCTGTGGACACTCACTGAAGCCATGTTTACATAAATTCTGTCAGATTTATTTGTTTATTTAGGCTTACTTATTTTATGCTTTGTAATTAAGGTTGCAAATTAAAATGTGCTTAAACTGTGCATTTTGGTTGAAGTCTTCATCTACATGATATCTGCAAGTTATTTCTTGGGAAAGGTTGCCTATCAGGTCAATGTTTGACAGGTTTGTTGACGATTTTTTGTAATATGTTTCTTTAACAGTACATCAATGAATAAATGGTGGAATCAATATTTTTAATTCAACTTAAGTAAGCCCTCAGAGTTTTGACTTGGCTTCTTGTTGTTTTGTCAAAAATATGTCCTGTAAAAACTGAAAGGGCAGGGTCCAAAGAATTTGGAAATGGTATCTTCCCATCTGCATTAGCCCTTCCCTCTCTGTAAATAATCCCCACTCCCTGATTTCTTTGAGGTCTTGCTTGAATATTAGTTTATAAGTGTACCTTAAAGCCTCTTCTGCTGTAATTGTTCCTTCAACTTCTTTCACAGTAAAGGCATGTCATTGGTTTTTTTGTTTTCTTGTTCATTATTGGCTGTGCGATTTGACTGGTGGGTCAATTTTTGGTGCACTCTCGAGCCTCTTTTCTCCATACAGTGGCCAGACCTTCAGATAATGGGGGCCCAGTCATCCAGACCCTGAGATAAGGGGGGAGGAGGGGGTGGTCTCCGAAAAAATTTTTTTCGTCCCTTCAGGCCTCAGTTTGGTCCAAAAATAAGCCC